CAAAGACTGGTCGGTGAAGCCTCTGGCCGAGAGACACGTGGCCAGAGGTTCAGCTGGTGAGCGGCGTACCTAACCGCGTAGGGCCACAGAAAATGGGGGGCACGGGCGTGAGTCATGGAGGTGCGGGCGATCTCCATGACCAAGCCTATGCGGCGCTCAGCAACCCCATTCTGCTGTGGGGACTCTAGAAGCGTCTAAGAATGACGAATGCCCTGCTCGCGACAGAATCCAGCGAGAACGCCGGAGCGAAACTCACCCCCGCGGTCGGAGTGAAGACAGCTGACACGACGACCACGAGTGTCCGCAGTGGTAAGCAACCACCTGATCAGCGTAGAAGTCACCTCAGACTTCTTCGCCAAGGGGAACACTGTGGTGTAGCGGGAGTAGTCGTCAACGACCACCAGAAAGAAACGCTCACGCTCAGGGCCAAGGCGAGAGGCGGGGCCCCAGACGTCCAAGTGGAGAGTCTCAAAAGGCTCAGTGGCCAGACACGAGGAGGAGTGAGGGGTGGCGCGCAGCCGACCCTCGACGCAAGGACCGCACGGTGGTGCAAGCGAAGGCGGCAGCGACGGCAAGACACGTGGGAGGCCTAAGACAAGACGCTGACTAGACATAGCGCGCAGACGAGGAATGGAAGGGTGCCCCATCCGGTGGTGCCACAGAACGGTGGGGTGGGCAAGCGACTGGCAGGAGCGAGACGCGGCAACTAGACCAGACACGGGAACCTGACCAGACACAGCTACCTGGGGGGACGCGGCAACCTGGTGAAACACGAGGACCTGACCGGGGGCAGGGACAAGGGCAGGGACAAGGGTCGGGGACAAGAGCTGTTGCTCATTCTGCTGCTGCTGCTGCTGCTGCTGCGGCTGCTGCTGCTGCTACTGCGGCTGCTGCTGCTGCTGCTGCTGCTGCTGCTTCGGCTACTGCCCTCCAGGGCCAGTGTGAAGTGTGTAGAGGCCGGAGCCCGGCTCAGCAGTAAAGGTGGCGAGAGGCGTGTACAAGTCCCCGTCCACACAAACCGCAGTCTCGCCAGAGGGCTCAATCCACACACCCACGTGCTGACTCACGAGTGGCCTCACACCCACCAAGTTCCTCGAGAACGAGGGGACGTAGAAACCCGTCAGCGAGCCCGACGGAACAGCTGGGCACGGTAGCGTAGTAGTGTAGCGAGCAATGACTGGTCCCGAAGTGGGATCAGCCAGTGCTACAGAGACCGCAGGAAGTGATGTAAGCGTCGTGTGGTTGCGGAAGAAACAGTTTGAAGCTCCGGAGTCCAGAGTGAAAGACAGCGAGGCCTCCTCCGAAGCAGCTCCTGGACTAGTGTCTACACAAGTACCTACACTAGCAACAGGCACCCCAGCAAGACTAGCACCTAAGCTAACAACACTCGAGTAAACAGAGTCAGAAGCACTAGAGTCAACAACAACATACATAGCATGAGGAGTTCCTAACAGATCAATCAATTGAGAAGCAGACATGCCCCAAAGAGCGAGGCCGTGCGATTGAACAAGAGGAAACCAGTCAGGGGCAGGGCCGTCAACGCCGTAGGCCAAGCGAACGGTGTCAGTAAGCTGAGCAAAGCACTGACCCGGTGGGTGGGTGCGGGCGCAGGGCTGGCCCCGACGGGCACCTGTCAGAACGTGATAGGTGCACGGAGGGTGAACGACACTGCGCTGGAGCTGACGCTGTCCTGACCCCTGCCCCAAAACCTGCTGCTGCCGCTGCTGCTGCGGGGGCTGCTGCGAGGGGAGGGGCTGCTGCTGCTGCTGCTGCTGCTGTCGCTGAGTCAGGTACCACGCCGCTGCTCCACCCCCGGAGGCTGGCAGACGAAGCGAGGCGGCACCTCCACTAGCTGCAGCAGGGGAGTCACTGGTCACTGCACGAGACGCTCCTCCAGCCGCCGCACTCCCACCGCCACCGCTCGCCACGACACCCCCGCCGCCTCCGCCGCCCCCGCCCGCACCCTGGTCGCTCCTCTTGCCACCCCTACCCTGGGACCGCGAAGAAGTCGTAACAGCAGCTGCGGTCACGTCAGTAGCAGCAGTGGCGAGGGAGGCAGTAAAGGTGGGCAGCTGAGGGACAGTGCACCCGTGAAACAGGGGAGGGGGCACAGCACCAGAGGCGGAGGCTACGGAGCGGAGGTTGCTCTCGACGTCCTTGAGAGCAGACTCAAGGACGCCGATAGTGAGCTCGCTAGGGTGCTTCAGAAGATGCGCGTTACGAACCGAAGCAAGACGGTTAGGGAGGCTAGTGGCGATGAAATAGATAGTGATCGCCATGGGGGGAGGCAGCAGTGCAAGCTGGTCGTCAGTGCAAGCAGCGCGAAAGCTAGCGTCAAGCGAGCGCAGGTGGGCAATAAGGTCAGCAGAGCGCTCAAACGAGGCGAGGTCAGGGATCAGGAATGGGAGGAACAGGCGTCCAAGAGAGATAGTGGAAGAAGTAGCATAGCGGGCCTTAATCGCTGTCAGAAACTCACGAGCCGTGCGAACCTGTGCGAAATGGATCTCCTCGGACTCAGGGAGGAGGCTGCTGAGGGAGATACAGGCTGCAGCGTCGCGCGATCGCCAGGCAGTCAGGTCAGCACGCTAACGTGCAACACGCTCTTTGTCCACAGTGGTCGCGTCAGGTCCTAGGGTAGCAGGAGCGGGGGGGGCGCGGGGAGGTCACTGGATGCGTGCGCCCACAGGGACTCATCTGCCTGCACCTGACTCTCTAAGAGACGCTGCGCACGCTGGAGCCAGACAGAGAACTCGAGGGGCCTACCCTCGGCGTCAAAGCGAAGGACCCTAGGGGTCGCCATAGCGAAAGCAGAAGCTACAAGACCGACAAGGCGCAGTGGCAGCCGCAGCGGGCGGCACGGGTAGGGACGGCGGGCGGCGAGTGCAGGCCCGCGGCGGGCGCAAAACACAGGCGAGGCGGGCGCAAGGGGCGGGCCCGCGGCGGGCGTAACAGACAAGCGCGGCAGGGGAGAATGGGAGGGCCCGTGGCGGGCCGAACGGGTAGGCGCGGCGGTGCGAAGGGAGTACCACGGCAAGCCTAACGAGCAGGCGCGGCGGCGGGCGTAACGGGCAGGCGCGGCGGCGCGAAGGCAGGGCCCGCTGCGGGCCTAACCAGCAAGCGCGGCGACGGGCGGAACGGGCAGGCGCGGCGGCGCGAAGGCAGGGCCCGCGGCGGGCCTAACGAGCAGGCGCGGCGGCGGGCTAACGAGCAGGCGTGGCGGCGCGAAGGCAGGGCCCGCGGCGGGCCTAACGAGCAGGCGCGACGGCGGGCTAACGAGCAGGCGCGGCGGCGCGAAGGGAGGGCCCGCGACGGGCGTAACGGGCGGTCGCGGCGGCGCGACAGGAGGGCGTAACTGGAGACGTGCGCGACGGACGGGCAGAGGAGGCGCGCGCGACGGGACGGGTAGGGGGAAGCGCGGGCGACGGGACGGGCAGGGGGAAGCGCGGGGGACGGACGGGCAGGGCAGGGGGAAGCGCGGGGGACGGACGAGCAGGGGGAAGCGCGGGGGACGGACGGGCAGGGTGGAGACGCGACGCTACGCAGAAGGCGCAGCAGGCGCTAACGAACGAGAGAGACGGGCGGCGCTAGGCTCGGGCGGCGCTAGGCTCGGGCGAGTCAGGCGCGACTAGGACTACGGAACGAGACAGGCTCGGGCGGAACGAACGTGGACGGGAGGAGCGGGATCCCACAGGATCCTAACCTAGCTAATACCATGTTAGAGACTGAATGATGGTTCATTGATGTGGGTTGGGGTACATATAGCAAACCCTAACATTTGTACCCCCTAAGACAAGCCTCACTACAGGCTACAACACTTGACAGGTAACTGGGAAAAAACGGCCGCCCATCAGGGCAAAAAGGGTATTTTTTCCCTGATATTTTGGGACCTGGTGCCCGCATGACCTTCACAGCCAGCCACAGTATGTACTGTCTCTACTACGGTACCAGCTTCACCCCCACATAATGGTTTTAGGGGCTGCCCTTGCAAAGTTCCAAGCATTGCTTTCCCCTGTGGCAGCTTCTGTTGCATTCACAATCAATCTTACAACATATCCTGTACCACACATTTCCCCACCAGCACAGCCCCTCTGCATTACTCCCTACAGCCTGCTTCGGACGCAGCTCACATCACATGGCCTGCATAATCATCCTCGCAGTGTACCTGTCTCCCATCCCCTGCCTCTGCCTCTCACCCCTACAAGCTGCATCGAGCCTCCCCCCATCCTCTCCCACCATTCCCCGCTCTGATATCCCCATTGCTCACGTGACCTTCAAGTCATAGCCATCCTCACAGCGTACCCTGTGTCTCCCCCCATCTGCTCTGCCTCACACCCATACAGTCCGTTTCGATGGCCTGCTCCCCCTCCATTCCTGACTTCGCTTCCCTCCTTGGCAGCTTGCATGGCCTTCATTGTCAACCCTCACAGCATCACCCTTTCTCCCCCACTGTCTGCCTTCGTCACCAGACCCCTACTGCTTGCTACGAGACCAACTCTCCCACCTCTCTATGCTCTGCTATACCCCTTGCCAGCTTGCATTGCATCACTGGTCACCCTCACAGCATGCCCTGCTTCTCCTACACTTGGCTTCGGGGCCCAGCTGCCCCACCGTCCCCTGCTCTGCTTCCTTCCTTGGCAGCACGCATGGTCTTCCTGGTAACCCTCACAGGGTACCTTGTCTTCCAGACCATCTGCCTGCGAGCAACCTGCCTACAGTTTGCTTCAAGACCCAGCTGCCCCACCGCGCCCTGCTTTGCTCCCCCCCCCCCAGCTCGCATTGCCGTCATAGTCATTGCCTTCAGCGTACCCCGTCTCTCCCTCCATCCGCCTGCGAGCCACCTGCCTACAGTTTGCTTCAAGACCCAGCTGCCCCACCGCGCCCTGCTTTGCTCCCCCCCCCCCCCCCCCCCCCCCCCCCCCCCCCCCCAGCTCGCATTGCCGTCATAGTCATTGCCTTCAGCGTACCCCGTCTCTCCCTCCATCCGCCTGCGAGCCACCTGCCTACAGTTTGCTTCGAGACCCAGCTGCTTTGCTCCCCACCTTGGCAGCTCGCATTGCTTTCATTGTCTCCCTCACGGCATACCCCGTCTCTCCCGCCATCTGCCTGCGAGCCAGCTGCCGCAGCTCCTCCCCTACCACTGCCTCCATGTCAGGCTGACGTGGCGCTGAATCACCCAGCGGCTGGCGCAGCATACGCTTGAAAATCGGGAGGGATTCTTGAATGAGAGCCTGCTGCTGAATGTCGGATAGTATTGAGAGGACTTCTGAAGGAGGGCATGAAAGAAGAACACGCGCACGGACAACAGAAGGGAGGGATAAAGAGAAGAAGAAAAACAAACACGGGCGGGGGAAGGGGAGAGTGCCGTGGGGGGGGGGGGGGGACCTATGGGATAAGGGATAACCAGACTTCAGCAAGAATCATGCAGAAATTTGATTTCCAGGTTTGGTTCAAGAGAGCCATTCTTGGAACACGCTCTCTTACGCCGACGCGTGCGTGATCCTCCAGAATAATGTTACCGCTCTCAAGGGTCGCATCCGGGAAGACTCTCGACACAAGGCCGTTTTTGCACGCCTCATCCGCAGATAGCACCCGTGACGTCAGAAGCAGATCGTTCGCCAGGGCGCGGCCGAGCAGCTGCGGGAGAGTGACGGACGAGCCGAACTCGGGGACGATCGCGATGCGGAGAAACGGCACCCAGAACGTGGCGGAATCCGCGGCGAAGACGAGATCGCAGTGCGGAAGGAGCGTCACGCCGATCCCGATGGCTGGCCCGTTGACTGCTGCGACTAGGATCTTGGAGAATCGCAGCACGCCGCGCATGAACCGACCCACGGGGCTGGCGAACGGGTCAAAATCCGGGGGGAGATCGACGGTGGAGCTGGGTTGTGGCGTGGATCGAACGGTTGGAGCTGAGCTTTCTGCTGGTTGCCCTGATGAACCGACGGCTGCTGAATCATGGGATCGTTTCAGCGCCTCGAGTCTCTCGACGGTCTGCATGAACTCGAGCATGTCCGTCCCGCTGCAGAAGTACTCGCCAGCTCCCGTTATAAGCACTATCGATACAGTGTCATTGGTGTCTGCGTCGGCCAGAGCGCGTGCGAGCTCGAGGTACGTTGAATTGTTGATGGCGTTTAGGTTTCGCCGGCGATTGATGGTTACGGTTACCACGGCTCCTTCTTGGCTTACCAACAGGTTCTTGTATTGGGAACCGTCCATCCTGTAGCGGGGATGAAATCACAATGCTCACTAATCACAATGCTCAAAATGCTTGAACGATCCTGTGCGGGAGGTTCCAAACGTCACGCGAGAAAGACCTCCGTTCCTGGAAATGCGGAAGCCCCCCCCCCTAATTGCACTTGGCAGAGCGATTAGGCGACAACACAAATGAGCTATGGCTAGAATCGCAAGCTACGAAAGCTGCACAAGCAATTGCGGTGGCGCCAGTGTGACGGAGGCAAGGCGTCTCTGTGTGATGCTGATCACTGAGGACGTGTTACCCCTTTCGAAATTGGCAGGTTCGGAGGAGATAGGAAGCTCACATCGAACCTGCGACGCTCGCGTCTCATATTTTTGGGTTGCGTAGCAACCCTATACACCTGTTCCGCGGTAAATTCACCGGCGGTATCTTCACCACCCGGGGTACTTCTCCGTGGTCAAGTTAGTATATAAAGGTAGTTACGATTTCGGAGAGGGTAGAATCATGCATTCCCTTCGCTAGATAACGGAGAGGAGAATTTTTTTAAATGCCGATCGCGCCCTTCTACCGGGTCACTAAGTGCCAGTTTATGAGACCGAAATGCATCGTAGCTGTACACTGTTAGCCTCGGAGTCTCTAGGTGCCCTTCTAATTACCCTAAAACGCACAAAGGGTGCCTGTAAGAAAAAACATTCGCGTGGTGAATTTACCGTGGGCTGGGTGTACATTTGGTAGCACTTTTCGGTGGACTCAAATGAACAGTGCAGTTTTTGTCATTCCCTAACGTCCGAACCACTCGTTTCAACGTTTTGATAACGAGTGTTTCAAATGTGTGGAGATGACAGCACTGAACACATAAGTCTCCAAAAATATGAAACCAAATGTGACCTATCATTCCATAATCGTCGATAAATACGGCGAATGGAACAATAGGTCGTCACCAAACACAATTGACGAGAAAAAAACCCAGTGGTCATGAATGCAAATCATGTGCATACGAGCAAAAACAACACATAATAACTGTGAGTGAATGCTAAAATGCATCAGTGCTACAACAAAAGATGGTTCCGGTATGCTAAGGCAAGCAACGCTGCCCCAACAACGATCCCCACCTCAAATGCAGACCCGACAGACTTTAAAATCGCACATCAGTTGCATACACGATGCAGACAGGTGCAAACAGACAAACGCACATATCGCACACACGGGCTCACACGTGCACGTACACACACGCATAAGCATACGCACACACTGACACACGCAAACAGCCACAGATAGATACAAAGACCGTAATAAACACGCAACCGTCATGAATAAAATTCAGAAATGCATAATAATTGCTAGCCTATCCCACCCACCCTCTCTTCAACCCTCCCTCCCTCCTCCCCTCATCGCCCTCTCAGCTCACGAGCCCTGCACAAAGCAAAAACAGAGAAGTCAACACACACACGCCCTGCACAAAGCAAAAACAGAGAAGTCAACACACACACGCCCTGCACAAAGCAAAAACAGAGAAGTCAACACACACACGCCCTGCACAAAGCAAAAACAGAGAAGTCAACACACACACGCCCTGCACAAAGCAAAAACAGAGAAGTCAACACACACAAGCCCTGCACAAAGCAAATACAGAGAAGTCAACACCCCCATGCCCTGCACAAAAATAATACCGAGAAGTCAACACACACACGCCCTGCACAAGAAAGCAAGAACAGAGAAAGCAACAGCACACCTTGCACAAAAAACAGTGTATGTTCACACACTGTGTACAAGAAAGCAAAAAGGCCAAAGGCCATGACGCTAGTGCTTCAGGCACGGCACACTAGGTGCCATGCCAGCGCCCAAGCGTTACAGCCCGCTGCACGAGCGTGCTAGGCATTAGCCCGCTAGTTGCCAGCGGCCTAGGCGAGCGTCTGAGGTGCCAACACCTTAAAAGCCGGCACTCTAAGCGCTAGTGCAGAAAGCGACACTCATTTGTATAAGTAGCCCCGGTTTCCCCAGCACCCGCAGAATAGATGCTAGTGCCTATGCCCCAGCATGCTCACGCGCTCTCTCACCCGCTCCCTTACGTGCTCCCTCACACACACCCAAACGAGCACCCTCACGCGCTCTCTCACGCGCTCTCTCACGCGCTCTCTCACGCGCTCTCTCACGCGCTCTCTTACGCGCTCTCACGCGCTCTCTCACGCGCTCTCTCACGCGCTCTCTCACGCGCTCTCTCACGCGCTCTCACGCACTCCCTCATGCGCTCTCTTATACGCTCTCTCACGCGCACTCTCACGCGCACTCTCACGCGCACTCTCACGCGCACTCTAACAAGCTCTCTCACGCACTCTCTCACGCGCACTCTCACGCGCACACTTACGCTCTCTCACGCTCTCTCTCACGCGCTCTCTCATACGCACCCTCACGCGCTCTCACGCGCTGTCACACACGCTCTCACACACACTCTCTCACGCGCTCTCTCACGCACTTTCTCACTCACACTCTCACGCGCACACTCACTCTCTCTCACACGCTCTCTTACGCGCTCTCACGCGCTCTCTCACGCGCTCCCTCACGCGCTCTCTCACGCGCACTCTCACGCGCACTCTCACGCGCTCTCTCACGCGCTCTCTCACGCGCACTCTCACGCGCACTCTCACGCGCACTCTCACGCGCTCTCACGCGCTCTCTCACGCACTCTCTCACGCTCTCTCTCACGCACTCTCTCGCGCGCTCTCTCACACGCTCTCATGCGCGCTCTCATGCACACTCTTACGCGCACTCTCACGAGCTCTCTTATGCGCTCTCTCACGCACTATCTCATACGCACCCTCACGCGCGCTCACGCGCTATCACACACGCTCTCTCACGCACTCTCTCACGCACTCCCTCACGCGCTCCCTCACGCACTCTCTCACTCGCACTCTCACGCGCACACTCACGCTCACTCACGCGCTGTCACGCGCGCTCTCTCACGCGCTCTCTCTCTCGCACACTCTCACGCGCACTCTCACGCGCTCTCTCACGCGCACTCTCACGCGCACTCTCACGCGCACTCTCACGCGCTCTCACGCGCTCTCTCACGCACTCTCTCACGCTCTCTCTCACGCACTCTCTCGCGCGCTCTCTCACACGCTCTCATGCGCGCTCTCATGCACACTCTTACGCGCACTCTCACGAGCTCTCTTATGCGCTCTCTCACGCACTATCTCATACGCACCCTCACGCGCGCTCACGCGCTATCACACACGCTCTCTCACGCACTCTCTCACGCACTCCCTCACGCGCTCCCTCACGCACTCTCTCACTCGCACTCTCACGCGCACACTCACGCTCACTCACGCGCTGTCACGCGCGCTCTCTCACGCGCTCTCTCTCGCACACTCTCACGCACACTCTCATGCGCTCTCTCATGCGCACTCTCACGCACACACTCACGCCCACCCTCACGCGCTCTCTCACGTGCTCCCTCACGCGCTCACTTACGTTCTCTCACGTGCTCTCTCACGCGCTATCTCACGCGTTCTCTCACGTGCTCTCTCACGGGCTCTCTCACGTGCTCTCTCACACGCGCTCTCATACGCACTCTCACGCGCTCTCACACGCACACTCACGCACTCTCTCACACCCTCTCTCACGTGCACTCTCATCCGCACCCTCACGCGCTCTCTCTCGCGCACTCTCACGCGCATTCTCTCTCTCACGCGCTCTCTAATACGCAACCTCATGATCTCTCTCACGCGCTCTCTCACGCGCTCTCTCACGCGCTCTCTCACGCGCTCTCTCACGCGCTCTCTCACGCGCTCCCTCACGCGCTCTCTCACACGCTCTCTCATGCGCTCCCTCACGCACTCCCTCACGCACTCTCACGCGCATTCTCAAACGCTCTCTCATGCGCCTCTCACGCGCAGTCTCACCCGCACACTCACGCGCTCTGTCACGCGCACACTCACGCGCTCCCTCACGCGCTCTCGCACGCGCTCTCTCACTCGCGCTCTCGCACGTGCTCTCTCACGCGCTCTCTCACGCGCTCTCTCACGCGCTCTCTCACGCGCTCTCTCACGCGCTCTCTCATGCGCCTCTCACGCGCTCCCTCACCCACACCCTGACGCACTCTGGCATGCACTCTCTCATGTGCTCTATCACGTGCTCTCTCATGCGCACTCTCCTGCCTCTCTCGCGCGCACTCTCATGCGCTCTCTCTCGCGCTCCCTCACGCGCACCCTCGCGCGCTTTGTCAAGCGCTCCCTCAAATGCTCTCGCACGCGCGCACTCTCACCCGCACACTCACGCGCTCCCCCACGCGCTCCCCCACGCGCTCACTAACGCGCACCCTTACGCGCTCTCTCACGCACCTTTCACGCGCACTCTCACCCGCACACTCACGCGCTCTGTCACGCGCACAATCACGCACTCCCTCACGCGCTCTCGCACGCGCTCCCTCACGTGCTCTCGCACGCGCTCCCTCACGCGCACACTCACGCGCGCTCTCACACGCGCGCACTCACGCGCTCCCCCATGCGCTTTCTCTTGCGCGTTCGCTCCTGTGCACACGCTCTCCCTCGCGCTCCGTCTCTCCCCTTCTTCAAAAGAAAGTGCAATGCAAGAAGAGACCAATCAACACACAAATTTTACGAAGAAGCAAAAGAGAAAGAAAAAATCAGAGGGGGAAGGGTGGATGAAAGGAACGCGAATGCACCCGATAACCACGGTGCCTCAGAAAACAACCCGTGCTGGCGCACCAACCCACGCTCGCGCACCAACCCGCGCTTGCGCTCGTGCACCTGTCGTCGGAGGCGACAGCAGGCATCGCACCTTTTCCTGAGTAGTCTCGCCAATATCTGGAAGCCAGGTTTGAATGTACCTGACAAATGGGTTCTCAAAATTGGTACGAAATGCTGGGTAGCGATTGCATGGAAACACAATGTGCGTGAAGTGTTTGAGATTGCTGGAGCTTCGCCAACCACGGGCAGGCTGCTGGTAGTCACGCGAAATGTTGCCATGTCAGCAGGGTTCGGATCGGATGTTGTTACAAATATAATTTCGTAACATTTCATTATTTGTACTTGGGTCTAAATACAGAAAAAGATGACTCTCTTTGAAGTAACAAAAGATGCGATACTATATTAATGGATTTGATTTAAATTACATCCTTTACACTCACAAATTTTGTACACTAATACACACGCATTTAAAATCATAATCTCAAATGCTAATTTCCATTCGCTATATGCAATAAAGTAGGTCAGATAAAAAAATCACATTATTAAAAAAACACCATATTTTACCTATGCCAATTGAGGACACACGCTTCACCGAAATCATAATGACCAGCTACAAGAGGAATATTGGCCCTGTCAATCCACTGCTCAATCTGGGCCTTCCTGATGTCCATTTCCCGCTTGTTTGATGATTGTTCCGAGTGCAGATTGTTCATGCCTGTGATCATGTTGTGCTCGACCTGGCGCACAACACCAAGAATTGATCAGTACAAAATATGGATCGTTACATTTAATATATAAACTGTTCAAAACCACTATACAGACTTGATCGATCGTGAGCGCAACATCTTGAGGGGGTTCCTTGTACCACGCACTGGCGGCAGCGATGAAGGCTGCGCTAGCCAGCGGACTCTCACCCACAGTGTGCCATGGCAGGCCAAACAACTCTGCAGCAAAAAAAAAAAAAAAAAAAGCCAGAACAGTCACAGTTACTGAAAACAGCACATTAGTAACTCACCACACAGGTACTTTTCGGCGTAGTTCCGTCGAGCTTTGACGTCATTCGGGACAACCTTTCCAAGAGGATCTTTAAGAAGAGCATATGCACACTGCCAAAATTTGGTGTTAAGCTTCCCTCTCCTGCCATTGCAAAGATCTATCATCTTATCGCCCCACTGTTTGTTCTTAAAATCAGAGTTGAACCTTGCAGCCTCTTCGATTTGCACATCTAGCACATCAGACAAAACGGACTTGAACTCTTCCTTGGACGGATAGATCCTCCTATTCTCAAGCTTAGCACCGTTCAACAGCGTGTCAAACACTTCGCCAAACTTCTCCTACAGCAAAGAGCGACGGAAGAGTTTGTTTAATTGATGTTAGAAAGCCTTGATGCGAAAACGGAATGGTTAGCGAAATGGTTAACTTTACACAACTGGACTTGAACATCAGACCTCCAGCTAGGAAGATTGATGTTTTTAGAAAGTTCGGTGACGATTTTGAGTAGGGCTCGCTGTGTTTCTTCGGTGTGCTGAAGCCTCTCGTTGATGGTGTCTAGCGTATCCACAATGTTCGCGAGTGTAACGCGGACACTTGACTCTAGCGAGTTGAAAGTGTTGGCTTCCCGATGATACACGTTCCGGTCTGAGGAAATTGGGGTCCCTGAAAAGGAAAACCAATAAAAATAGTTTAGTAAAGTGTAACACACGAGAAATAAACCAATAAATCAGTGAGTTGAAAAGGCAAAGTACCAGTGCAGACGATGTTGAGGTCGGACCCTGAGGCGGCATGGTTGTCGTGAGAGCCGTCTTCCTTAGAACCTATCACGTTCTCTGCGCTGACGTTCGTTGCAGTAACTCCAACCACGGTAGTATAGTACCATTAGGGTCCACGGCTGAATCACTTGCAACCGTTGGAGGACCGCTTGCAACAGGTGCAGGACTACCAACTAAGGGAGAAGGGTCGACTGGTGTACCCGCCTGAGTAGTTTTCTGAGCTTTGATCAACTGTCCAGTTGCTACTGCTCGTCCGCGTGAACCAGGATACTCAGTTTCGTAATTACAAAACCTAGCAGGGAGGTTCTTCTTCCTCTTGGCACGACCCTCTAGAAACTCTCGAGGAAGTTCAGCCTTGAGAGGAGAGGATCCGCTGGTGGAGTGGGAGAGAAGGCAGCATGGAAACGAAAGGTCGGGATTGTTGGTAATGGGGCAGAATTACATTTGTATAAATACCCTGTCCAAAGCATATAACACTAGGACTAGCTGGTGCACACATGAAATATTACAGAGCAGGGAACTAAAGGCTACCGGTTGGCTTCTACCGTTGCGGGTCAGTTTAGGCGGGATTCTGCAAGCTCAAGCGGTGCGTAAACGTGTCTGTTAAGGTAGCTACTGGCGAATCAGCGAGCAAAAGGGCATGGCGCGGTTTCCCCAACGGTATTGAAAGTACAGTGTATTTTCTGACTCGCCTCTGCCCATGCCAGTCCATCCGGGCCCTCGTGGGTTCGAATCCACCAGGGCCCCCTCCTGGTGGGAACCCGTTCCCACCACTGGTGGACTAGCAAGGATTGTGAGTACAAATATGAAACCCTAATGTTGTGACCCCCCTATAGGCTAACCCACTACAGCCTACACAAATACAACATGCATAATGTTTGACACACCCCCATAGGCAAAGTGGGGGAGACCTAGGGGTCACAAGACCAGTCAAGGCAAAGCAAGGCAACAACAAGCTCAGGGTGGATCTCAAGGACTCCACACAAATTCCGAGCACAAGCTAGTGGTCACAAGACCAGTTCACATGCAGGTTTATAACAGAGCAAGAGATACAGTGATCACAACCTAGCAAGAGTAAACATGCAGGTATAGATATATATAGTGATCACAGTACAAGCAAAGTCAAGAGGTAAGTAAGTGAGGTCCAGTAGGCACAAGGCCTAGAAGAGTGCAGAAGCGCTGATGGTCACGAGGCTGAAGCGCCTTGGTGAACACATCAGCAGTGTTGGCCTCAGTGGCCACGTAGCGAATACAAAGCTGACCGCGCTGCTGCAGCTCACGAGCAAGGAAGTACCGCAGAGCGATGTGCTTCGTTCTCTGCTCCAGTCTGTGCTCCTCACACAAGGCAATGGCAGCCTTGTTGTCGACGTACAGTACTGGAGGAGAACGAGGCCGCTCTCCGAGGTCGGTCAGCAGGTAGGTCAGCCAGCGTAGCTCCTGGGCAGCCATGGCTGTAGCGTAGATCTCAGCCTCGCAACTGGAGCCGAGAACAGAAGAAGAGCGTGTAGAGCGCCAAGAAACTGAGCCAGAGCCAAGGCTGAAGGTGTAACCCTGAGACGACCGCTGAGTGGCCTGGTCGTCTGCCCAAGAAGCGTCTGAGTGCCCTGTGAGCACAACTCGGTCTCGCCCTCCAAGCACAAGCCCCATGCCCGACGTACTGCACAAGTAGCGCAACACCCTCTTAGCGGCATCCATGTGCTCCTTCCTGTGACGGCCAGGAGCGACATAGCGTGCAAGGATGCTAAGAGGGTATGCAAGGTCAGGTCGAGTGCAGGTCATCAGGTACATGAGGCAGCCCACAAGCTCTGGATACGGGCCACTCGGCTCTACGGACTCATCCGAAGGCAGAGCTGAGAGCGAGTGACCGGTAGGCAGAGGAGTGGACTGAGGCGAGGAGTACGTGAAGCCGAAGCGCTGGAGAACCTGCTGCACCATGTGTGACTGAGTCAGGGTGATGGTGCGCCGTGCTCTGTCCCGGGTGATCCGCAAGCCAAGATAGCTTGTCAGCTCACCCACGTCTGTAGCTCCGACTTCACGTGGGCGAGTCCTGCAGTGTCAGCAGTGGCAAAGACCAAGTCGTCGACGTACACGAGGATGTAGAACGGCGGCAGCGAAGTGTCGGTGCGCAGGAACAGCGACGGGTCAGCTGTAGAAGGCGCGAACCCAAGAGCCGCAAGTGTAGTCCTCAGTGTGTCGTGCCACTCACGCGGAGCCTGGCGGAGACCGTAGACCAGCCGCTGAAGCCTCCACTGGGTACCAGGAGGAAACGGCCCAGTGAAGCCAGGTGGGCGGCGCAGCCAGATCTCCTCGTGCAGGCTGCCCTGCAAGAAAGCAGTGCTGAAGTCAAGTGAGTGAAGCTCGTAGTCGCGCTGAGCGGCTATGTGCAGCAGCACCCGAAGAGTGGTCATCTTCGGGGTGGGGGAGAAGGTCTGGAAGAAGTCAACTCCCTCTCGCTGACTGAAGCCTCGAGCCACGTAACGCGCCTTGAAGACAGGCGGAGAACCCGGCGGCCGCTTCACCCTGAAAATCCACATGCCACTGACGATGTTCGCCCCAGGAGGGGGAACCTCGTCGACGTAGGTGCGTGTGGACTTCCAGGAAGCCATCTCGGCGTCC